GCAACATCTTACACGACACTTGCTTTCTCATCTTTACGCTACCCTTTCTTGGGATCAAAGAACTCGTTCTTTGCTATTCTCACTCCTCCTCACACTCCTCCGCACACTCCTCCGCACACTCCTCCTCGCACTCCTCCTCGCACTCCTCCTCTCACACATCCTGAAGCGATGTTTCGCTTTGCAACTGCATTATAAAAGAAGATCAGAAAAAAGAAAAAGAAGATCAAAAGAATAAAGATAAAAGGATAAAGATAAAAGAAAAGAAAAGATCAAAAACAAAATCAAAAGAAAAATCACAAAAAGACAAAGAAAATATCTACTTCTCATTTGAGAATCACTTCATATCCAGCCAGCATTACCTACTTCTCATTCCATACTATCTCTACCACCAACACTCACTTCTCATCCAGCAACTGTCATCCACTTCACATCCTGCAATAGTCATCCACTTCACATCCCGCAATCGTCATCCACCTCTCATCCCGCAATCATCATCCACTTCTCATTTCGTCATCATCAACCTCTTATCATTCAACATCCATTTGACATTCAGTCAGCATCACAAATTTCTCACAAGACAATGATTGTGGCACTCAAATGCAAGCAATCATGGCATCACTTCACTTCACTTAAAAACCTCACAAGTGCAAACGCCGGCATGCAACCCTATCCAACCAAGGTTTTCCTTTGATGCGCCGGTGAAACCTTTGAAAATTCAAAGAACGCCATCTCATATGCGTCCTCACTCAACCAGCATTCATCCACTTCTCGTTCGTGGATCACAGCTCATTCAAGCGACATCATCCACTTCTCATTTGTGGATCACATCTCATTCAACCGGCATCAATCTTTTGTCATTCGGAGAAGCGCTCCTCATTCAAACGGCATCATCCACTTCTTATTTGATGATCATAGCTCACTCAAGCGACATCATTCTCTTGTCATTCGAGATCCACCCGACGTATAATCGGCATCACACACTTCACTTTTCAAGTTGTCACACAACATTGATTGCGGCAATCAACGCAAATACGACCCGCATCACTTCATGAAAAGAGCTCACAAGTACAAACGTCTGAATGGGGCCTGAATCAGCCAAGGTCTTACTCTTTCGATCGGATGAAACCTTTCTTCTCGTACGTCACTCAAGATCAAGTTATGACGTGGCATTCGAACAAGTGGGACAACAGAAGAAATGGCGCACACTTGACATCAACATTTGTCTTTCCTCTGCCCTCCTCACCATGCTTCCACCTCACACTCTTTGGCTTGACATCCGTTCAAAATTACCGAAGAAGTCCGTCATCATTGGGTGATTTGAAGTGAGGTGGATCAAGCCGGTCAAAGGTCCTTCATTCATGACGTCTCTGCACTCGCACCCATCGGGCCCTTACAAGCAAACACTGGCAGTCTGAAGGGAAGAAGAGAAACAGTGAATGGATCCGGACTGAGGGTCCTGAGAAGGAGGAAGGGAGGAAGGGAGGAAGGGAGGAAGG